AAATCACATCACACGCTAATTTAAAATGAACAGACATAAAACCAAAAATCTGCGAATCTTTATCAGATTATTTTGCAGTAAATTGATTAAGAACAGATATTCAAATCTCTTAAAATAAAACTGAAATAATAGGTAAGAGGTCATAGAATAACACAAGGGTTAGTGAAACTGTTGGTATTCAAAAACGGACAGCAGATTAAACCTGGTGAAATGATGCTAAAGGTTCTGGCCGGTCATTTATAAATCTTTGAGGACTGAGTGCACATTCTTAATTACATTACAATAGATAATATATTCATCAGGTAAGAATTACTATAAAAAGGGACTGTGAGAGCTTTGGGAGTCAGATGATTTGGATCTTAGTGGCACACTAACCACGGCTGTGTTGCTTTTGAAGTAGAGTGTCACATGTTTCAAGTCTAAATTAAAATAATAATTGCTTAACCGTGTGTGCATTAATGAGTCTATCCTGGACATCATTGGATGTCCTCTTAGTATCAGTGATGTGGCACAACACCACAACACAATACATTTTTAATAACTGATTTCTTTGGTCACTTGGGAGCACTCGAACTAAACTGTACACTTATAATCACCCTTTACGTCCTCACATCCGAATGACCACATCTCTCTGCTCTGTGTTGGTCTCCACCAACTCCTCTGGCTCTTTAGCAGCCAAATGATGCTTTATATTCACCAGCTACAGTCTCTAACTGTGTCAGTCTGTCAATTGGTTCTGAGCAGGCGGTGTACAGGTGGTTTTTAGAGCTTTTTCACAAACCACAGCTGCCTGAAAACAACACGATAAGAGCTCTGAGATGAAACCCAAAAATAAAGCTGGGGCCCAGAACAATGCAAAGATTCAGGTGATAATTCTCCACATTGTGGGTCAAGAAACATTGATGATGGGCAATTTATGACCAGGTGAAGGTTCAGAAGTCTGAACATTCAAGTCCCTTTTTCCCTAAATGTTTTTGTCAAAGGATAATATCATATAATAGGAATCTCACATCAAAAAGACACAGACGATTGAGGATACTAACTTGATTTGACAAACTCAAACTGGTACAGCCTCAAGCCCCACATTGAAACAACTTTAAGATGGGCTGTAATCAATATAATGTTTTACTGTTCTCATTTGTAACAACAAACCTGAGAGGGTTGGAATAATTGTTGTGTATTTAATACAGTCGATAAGATTCTGCCTCTGTTATCTGTGACTGTCGAGTGGATTCACTTTCCAGTTTTGAGTGTCAGGAAGTAACACTGTGTCCACATTTGATTATCATTCGATGGAGCGAAGAGGCCGAGAGAAATGTTTGTTTGACATTTGCAGAGCAGTAACGCCTGGACGCTGATAGTTTACACAAGAGGCTGCATTGAAGAGTCAACTAGTGCCTCTGTGATAAACAATAATGTGATGTGAAGCTCGCACACTCACCATCCTGCAGCGGTGGTTTGGCTGGACAGGCTCACATTTGATTAGAGTAGGAGGTGGGCTGCTGCTCATAGCCCTGGCTGTAGCCGCCGTCCTCGGTGTAGCCTCCCTGCTGGCCGTAGTCGGGCTGGTAGCCTCCCTGGGACCCGGCGTAGGGGTCCTGCTGAGCGTAGTCCCCCTGGCCGAAGGTATCGGGGGCGGGCTGCTTCTCCTGAGATGCGACGTATGTTCCAGCAAAGGCAGCCATCCAGCCGGTCTCCTTGAACACGAACCACAGGTTTCCTATCCACAGGATCAGGTTGATGAAGCCAAAAGCCTGTGGAGAAGATAAGTGTTAATTCTATCAGTGATTAACTGTGACTGTCCTGATATCTACACAGTTCAGCTCAGAATGAAGCAGCGAGGACCCACCACAGAGGTGTTCAGGCCGGAGACCTTGGGATCATAAATCTCACGACAGTGATTCTCTGGTTCGTCACAGGCCGCGATGAGAGTGATGACCTTCTCTGGATCGGTGGCTGTTTTCACGTCTGACAGGCCTTTAGCCCAAGCACAGGAAGACACCAGCCACATGAAGGTGAATACCGCTGTCACGACAAAGTCCTGGTGATCATCAAGACAAGAGAATCAGTTACTGTGCAACAACTGCTAAATATTAATCATAGGTCTAGTTGTAGGAATTCGATACCAAGAAGGTGTGAGGGAAGAACAAACTCACAATCTGAGCCCCTTTGTTGTTTTCGCGGTACTTCTCCAGCACGAAACAGTATACAGACAGAGCTGCCATGGAGTAGAGGAAGGAAAAGACACCGATGGTGACAAAGAACTCAGCTGAGGAGGAGTAGTCCCCGACCAGGAATAAAGTCTCGGGCTTCTCTCCCTTACAGGTGGGGGCATCAAAGTAAACCTGATGGAGCCTGAAGACAGCAAGACACAGAAACAGAGATTAAAGATGAAACTTGTTTGATTTATTTTTTTCTCACTTCTGCGACACCGGAGACAGTGAAGGCAAAAATACAAACCTGAATGGATATTCAAATTTTACTTCTATGCCTAGATTACTCTCCGACCGGTTTTTACACTCCACGCTCATCTTGAACATGCCAGAGTAGCTGCCACATGTCGAGAAGGCGAAGATGGCAAAGATCTGCAGGGAGAAAAGAAGAAGGGAGACGACGCACATCAGTCACACTGTAGAAAACACAAAACACAAAACAGTTCTGACTGATCATACACGATCTCATACACGATCTCTACGCCCCAGTACAGCTCAGTTATGTAACCATGTCAACAAAGAGCTCCGGTGTATAACAGGTGACAGCTCCATTTACACACAGAGCTGCAGGCTGCGCTTCCACCACCTGCAACGATTCGAGCACTACCAACGCTCCGGCCAATCACGGTGGAGCAGCCGGGGAAACGCACACAGACTGCAAATCAGTGGCGGCGGAGTCACCGGGTCACGCGGCGAGGACTGTAACTGTTGCCATGGTTACAACTGCAACTGAGTTGATGCTGAAGATGCTCAGTTGTATTTTATGGTGCAACAGTGATCGTGCATTAATTCAGAGCCTGTCACGTTAATAGCACAAACCGACACGCATGAAGATAAACTCACACTCTCTCTCTCT